TATAGTATTCTGTTTTGTCTTTGTCTTTCATTTCCGAAGTTAATTTGTCCATCTCAGCGCAAGTCCATATCTTTCTTATTACTTCCCCTTCATTGGGAATTTCTTTATCTTTCCACTTTTGAGCAAAGGCTAACCTTGCGGCAGTGATCACGTGTATTATTAAATAGATCACCTCTTTGTTATATTTTTCAGTTATGATCCCAAGTAAGAAAAATTCTGCTTTATATTCCACTTTTTGTCCTATCATCTCCTCAAGCCACCTCTGGATTCTAGGGACTGCATCAGGTTTTCATCCTTCCTGCATAGTCATCCTTGATGTCAAAGAACCCCCTCTCACCCCTCCTCAAATTTGCATTGGAAGCTCTGGGACCTAGAGGGAGGTTTGCAGGAAAAGGCCAAAGGTTAACTTCCTCCAGCTTTGCCCCAATAAGAAGAAAACTTTCTGCCTTTCTGGTGCTGTTTTCCAAAGCCATTCTTGCAACTGGCTAATTTCGTGAGTTGTGCCCGACTTAGCTTGGCTGGGAGGTAGTCATCAATCAAAGCAGCATAGATTTTTTTTTATAAAGCTGGGTTTTTAATGATTTTTATTGTATATGAATATTTGTAGGCTGCCTGGAGCTCGAGGAGGAGTGGGTGGCATATAAATTTTTCAAATGAATAAGCATCAGTCTTTCTGGTTCTGCACAGCTTTCTCTTTGATTTTGCTAGTGGGCTTATGTCAGCAACATGCTATACCGGTGTTTCTCAACTCAGCAATTTTAAGAGGGATGGACTAACTCCCAGAATTCCCCAGCTAGCCTTGCTGGCTGGGGAATTCTGGGAGTTGAAGTCCACCCCACTTAAAATTGCTGAGGTTGAAAAACACTGTGCTAAACTGTAATTAGGCAACCATTGGCTCTCCCATGTTACCCCAGTAGAAGCTCCCAATTTCCTTCCAGGTGCAATTCAAGCAGCTAGTTATTGCTCTTAATTCTCTATCTCAGTAGCCCCCAAGCTTTTTTGTCCCACGGACCGGTACCGGCATCACAAAATGATCCACGGACCAGTACCAGCATCAGCACGCACGACCAAGGCAAGGTGAGCTGAGCGACCGGCCAGCCAGCCGTCCCCCGCTTCTCCCCGCCACCTTCAACTCTTCCTTTGTACCTTTGTCAATGGGCTTTTCGGGCTCTTTCTTAATCTCCTCCTGAGTAACGCGAGACTCCACCGCCATCGGGACGGCTCTTCGTTCGAAGCCGCCCCCCCCTTCGACGAAACTAAGGTGCGAGGATTCCTTCAGCACCCAAACGCCGCTTTCCAACCGACGACCGACAAGCTCACCCGGAAGCACTTTCTCAAGCGCCGTCGAAACAAGATGGCGGTGCCCACTTCTTTGCGGCCTGTTAAAAAATGATCCACGGACCGGTACTGGTCCGGGGCCCGGTGGTTGGGGACCACTGCTCTATCTGGTAGAGGACCAGGTTATTTGTTGGGCCACCTCTCCCTGAGGGTTTTTGGAGTCACCTTATATAGGGGAGGTGGGTGGCATAAAAATTGAAATAAATAAACAAACCAATAAATAACTTTGCCTCTCCCATTAGACGGAGAAGGGTGGGCGTGCTCCAGACCCCTTCTCTGAAATTATACTATCTAATCCAGGGGTGTCAAACTGGATTTCTTCAAGAGCTGGATCAGCATTGTAGTTCTCCGTGGGTCAGCTGGGGATGATGGGATGATCAGCCTTCTGCAGCACTTTGCCAGGATCAGATAGATAGGTAGATAGATAGAATTCTTTATTGGCCAAGTGTGGTTGGACACACAAGGAATTCGTCTTCGGTGCAAATGCTCTCGGTGTACATAAAAGAAAAGAGACATTCATCAAGAGTCAAGAATCAGAAGGTCCAACACTTAATAATAGTCATAGGGTACAATAAGCAATCAAATCATACTAGGAAACAGTTAATATAAATCGTAAGGATACAAGTGACAAAAATACAGTCATACAGTCACAAGTGGGAGGAAATGGGTGATAAGGAGGGATGAGAAGATTAATAGTGATAGTAGTGCAGACTTTGTAAATAGTTGGACAGTTTTCAGGGAATTATTTGTTTAGCAGAGTGATGGCTTTCAGGAAAAAACTGTCCTTGTGTCTAGTTGTTCTGGTGTGCAGTGCTCTATAGTGTCGTTTTGAGGGTAGGAGTTGAAACCGTTTATGTCCGGGATGTGAGGGGTCTGTAAATATTTTCACAGCCCTCTTTTTGACTCGTGCAGTATACAGGTCCTCCATGGAAGGCAGGCTGGTAGCAATTGCTTTTTCTGCAGTCCTAATTAGCCTCTGGAGTCTGTGTCTGTCCTGTTGGGTTGCAGAACCAAACCAGACAGTGATAGAGGTGCAGATGACTGACTCAATGATTCCTCTGTAGAACTGGATCAGCAGCTCCTTGGGCAGTTTGAGCTTCCTGAGTTCTTGTACTCCTGCCCAGAGTTGTGCTCAGAGATGGAGAGTTATACAGATAATCCTCAACTTATGACCACCATTCAGCTCAAAATTTCCATTTCCAAGCCAGGCAGTTGTTCAAGTGAATTTTGCCCCATTTTATGACCTTTCTTGCCACAGTTGTTAAGGGAATCACTGCAGTTGTGAAGTTAAGTCACACGGTCGCTCACTGAATCCGGCTTCGGCATTGACTTTATTTGTCAGAAGGTCACAAAAGGGGATCACATAGCCAGAGGTGGGCTGCTGGGGGTTTTTTAGGGGTTCGGGAGAGCCCCTAAGCTAAGATTCTGTGCAAATCCCACTCCTGCCTGGCCCCACCCCGCCCACCCCGCCCCTCCCAGGAACCCCCACACGGCCCGTTTTGGATGCAGGGAAGGGCCGGGCGCACATGGAGGCTCGGGGAGGGTGAAAAACGTGCCTCCTGGAAGTTCGAGAAGGCCGGAATTGGGCCTGTTTGCGGCTTCCAGGGAGCCTCCGGAGCCCAAGGGGCCCGTTTTCACCCTCCCGGAGGCTCGAGAAAAGCCTCCGGAGTCCGGGGAGGGCAAAAACACCCCCCACACTATAGTGCAGGAGGCCGACTAGGCCACGCCCACCATGGCCACGCCCACGCCCACCCAGCAACCGGGTAGAAAAACCCTTTGGTAAAATTTTTGAACCCCACCCCTGGATGTAGCCCTGAGACACTGTGAGACCAAAATATTAATTTCAAGCGGACTGTCCCCAAGTGCCTTGGCATGTCCGACTAAGTTGCATGTTTGCATGTTTTTCTGGGAATTTATTGATTTAGTGTATGGCATATCACGCATGGACTTGCAATATACTGTATATATATATATATATATATCTCAACATTTCACCTAGATGGATAAAACACAATAACATACAAATGTCAACAAGATCTATGTTCAAATACCAATGTTGAGGCCATCTAACCATTGAAGCACAACATGGTTTATATATCAGTGTTTCTCCACCTGGGCAGATTTGAAAATGTGTGGACTTCAACTCCCAGAATTCCCCAGCCAGCTATGCTGTTGAAGCCCACATCGCTTCAAAGTGCCAAAGTGCTGAGAAACACTGGTTTATCTCTCTATATAAAAGTGAAATACCACTCACGCATCATCACAAAATCTCCAGAACCGTAAAGCTTACAAACTTGAAATTTGGCACGTATGTTCCTCTTGGCTTCTAGGGGCTCACTAAGAAACGACCATCAGGGCTATTAGTATTTCCTATATTATTATTATTATTATTATTATTATTATTATTATTATTATTATTATTATTATTATTATTA